ATCTTTAAAATAACTTAAATACATCGCATGCTTTGTGCGAAGATCGTTGAGTCGAGTTTAATATTAAGTTTCTTCCTGTCATGTTTATCATCGCAAATAAGATATATGCAACAATTACAAGTATGGATCAGTTCAAAGTAATCAAATTACCACCCTGATTTCACTTTTGCTCCATTTCGTTGACAAGTTTCTCCTCGCATATTTAGCAATATAGCAATTTATGCAGCGCATTTTGTCATCCTGTTGACATGCGCATTTTAATGGCTAATAAAAAGATTTAAATATATGTTACAAATATGATGACGTAAACATAAAATTTTAATAACCTCATTTCATAATGATAATTAAAAAATAATAAAAGATTACGATAAACTTGTCTTATAATTTTGTGCAAAAACATTAAGTTTTATTAATGCTAAATTCTTTTGTTATTCTATAAAAATTAAGCTCATATGTCATCTGTGTGATAAATTAATTTAAAGCAACGTGATTGCGTTTAAAAAAAAAAAAACAAGACCTGACAAAACGCATTAAAATTTCAACAAGTGCCGGCACATTGTAGCTGTAATTTTCCAGTGACAGTATATATTCACGATAGCATTACAAATATGCATATTCCAGTTGCGGGTTGTTTGTATAACTCAGAAACGCCATGCTTTTCGATCGCGCTCGCGTGTGATAGGCGCGATAGTCGACGAAAATAAATCGCGAATAAACAAAAATCGCTAATCATTCCAAAACTTACATTTATCTTCAAGGAAAAAAGATAAATTCCAATTTAACCTTGCCAAACATAAAAAAAAGCGTCTAAAATCTCACTGTACAAATCAGTAACGCACGGCGATAATTAAATTATTTTTGTCAAAAACCTGAAGAAAGTCACATAAAAAGACACGAGAACGCCACACATCGTATATACAATAAGCCGAAACTTAAACCTCTTTATGCAGTTATCTAAAAAATCATGTTTTTTTTTAAATTTAATTAGAGATGGTAAATATATTAAAAATTAGTATTTTAAAGCATGCTATAAAAATTTGATTTTATATAATACAATAAAAAAAGTTGTGAGAAAAAAGTATTAAAGTAAAAAGTAGTAAAGTAGACACTCTAGTGTATAATACTTCATCGAGACAAGGACAAAGTAATTTATAGATACTGTGTGAACTTTGATGTCGGGGGCTTAAACCCGTGGGACTGTTTCATGGTCGCTAGAAACAATACGAGTAAGGACGATTTTCTCAGAATCATAAATAAATTGTCATCATTGATCATCGTTATTCAAGCGTCATAGTACGCCGGAGCTCTCACTTATGCACTCGATTTCCTGTTACATTTCTATTTATTTTCCTCGTTCTACATAAACGCACGATTATTTTTTGCAAGGAAAAGGGATCATTAAATATTTGCCGTTCCGTAATATAGTAGAATATAAGAGCGGAGAGATATAACACGTAACCGATGACTTGCAAGAAAAAAGAATTAATGGCAGATATTATGTGTGGACGTGGAAAGAAATTTACGTATCGTGCATCTAAGAATGCGTCTTAGGTATGTCTTTATGGTTTTAAAAAAATATAGAAAAAAATCTTTTTATAAAACTTGTTGAAATAACATGTCAATAAAATACTTAACTTTTTCATTTTTTGTGTTATCAATAATATGTAAAAATGCCACATATTATATATTAAATATATAAAAACTTTCAGTATTGCATTACAAATTCTTGTTATGTTATTATTATTAGTCATTTTAATATTGTTAAATACTTTTTCAAAAAGTGTGTGTTGCACGTAAATTGCTTCATAAATTTGGTAGAATATGCAAAAGTAATAAAATATATATAATAAAAAATAATAAGTATAATAAAAAAGTATAGTATGTTAGATGATAAGTGAAGCCTATTGTTTTACAGCCATTCTATTTATTATTTTGTCATTGTTCTGTCAAATAATTTTTTACGGTTAATTAAAAAAAAATGATTAAAAATAGTTTAGTATGTATTTCTAAACATAAAAAAATAGCACTGTAGAAGTTTCCGTAATTAAAATTAATTGTTTCTTGCAACAAATGCTACAAAATATTATTTGAATCATGTGAATACAAATTTTTAACGTCTCGTTACTCCTAACGACATTCTCATCGGCTAGCTGGTATGCACAGGTATAAAAGCTCTTATCTGATAAGAACCGTCGGTACGCGATAGCGTGTTCAAACCAGATAAAATCATTTTCTGGTTGATGATGCAAAATCAACAGGAACTACTCCGTTAAGAGTTGAGTTGGCATGATTCGGTAAAAGTATTTCGCAAGATAAGGAAAATTTTTAACGTTTCTCTTATCTCGTATCTATTAACTCTTCGTCTTCTTCGTTAGCAATAAATAGAACACTTTCGTCTGAAATATCGCGATGCAAATAAAAACAATGATAAGTTTGCAAAGCAAAGCTTTTCACTTCTGTTTTATCAAAGTATGATAGACGAGAAATTGCGTTTAGAAATTTTTTTTTAACAGTGACATCGAATTCTACAAGTATTCCGCAGAGGACAGCATTCACTGTAATCTAGAGATCTCTATCTTATCGACAAATTAATGCGTGACTGCAAATGTACCGAGTTATCACATTAGATAATATTTGCATTTCGCACATTCTTATATAAAGAAGTATTGCTGACAGTCGCACATTTTGAGTGCGCTCCGTTTTAGCAATTTTAATAATTGTAAAGAAAAAACACGCGATATATTACATTCGTCAATAAATGACAGCTGAATGCGTTTCTGCATACAGTTAGAATGACATAAAAATATTTGTGAGTACAAAGAAATTTTTCATCGTATCTCGCTAATAGAAATGTTTTCTCTGTCTGGTGATCATCCAGAGTTTAATATTTATAGAATCTTTAAACTCTATTGAGTCTCTTAGTAAGATGGTAATTGTTTCTGCAATATTCAGAAATCACAAGGTTATAAAAAAATGTCCTACTATTAATTTTAAAATGTGTACATTTCTGTGTATCAAATACACATAAAATACTCACGTAATATACACGAATAAATGTAAGATATTTTACTAAAAATCTTTTTTTGTTTTGTATGAATTTTTAAATCACTTTCAATTCTTTAAAAAATTACAAATACAAATGATAATTTGACTTAAATTTTTCGAACTCAAAAATATTATAAAAGTTAAAGCAAGTAGCAACGATGTTTCACATAAGCAAACGCTAGATGGCATACAAGAGCAGAATCAAGAGCTTACTTCTGCTTCACACAATTACCATTAGTATTAATTAACTATTTGTAAATGTTGTAAAAAATAACTCAATATTCTATCTAATAGCCACCAGTTGTATACAAAAAAAAATTCCAGTAAAATGTTAACAATTAAGATTATCATTATTATTATGTAACATCAGTGTATTTTTTTTTAATTGCTTGATCCTATTGAATTTACTTTATAATGTAAAAAAAATTGTGATATCAATACCGCTACAATATCGCTAATAATATCGCTAAATTATCAAATTAATAATAAGTTTTATCACAAAACTACTGCAAAATTTTTACACAAATGTAATAAAAAAGATATAAAAATTTCTCTAGCCCCATTTTACTTTATATTTTATTATGTTCTATTTCACACCAATTGTATCTTTCATTATTTTATATTATACTATTTAAAATATCGATATATTTTCCAATATCGTATTGAATAGTATCGTGACAAGCGGCGCAGCTTTATTTGCGATGACTGCGAAATAATTATCTTATCTGACCTATTTTAAGCTTGTGTTACCGTATCGCGTACAAATATTAACTACGCCCATATAACGTTTGGCATAAAAACTTTTGCAGTTTCGTTGTAAAAAAAAATAACAACCATGAATCATTCAAAGCATTTCGTTCCGGTTGCATACACAATGTGAACGTTTCAAGCAAAACTATTATTTTTTTAAATATTTATCTACGCTTTTGACTCGAAAATTCTCAAATATATAGGAAAATTTTGGTTTACCAGCAGATGGCAAACCTGATCAACAACTTTCTCGTTAGCGTAATAAAATTTGAATAAACAAACGTTTATCAGAACGCTAAACGTATATGAATTTCTAATTATAAACTACGATTATTTTTATGCAGATAAACAAATAAGAAAAGATAAAAGAAATGTTCTAATTACGTACAATTGCGAATAAAGATTTTTTATAATAGCCCAATGCATAGAATTATAAAGTATGCTTAATTAGCTTAATAAATTTTAAAAAAATATATATTTATATATATTATATATATATATATATGTCTCTTTTAATATTACGATATTTTTTATGCAATGTTTTTTTCCTATGTCTCAAAAACATATCTCAAATTTTATCATTTATCATGAAACTTCCCAAGCACATGTCGCAATGCACACGTGTTACAATCAAATCACATCTAAGCTTATGCTGTTATTATCTTATCTGCATTACATTCTAAGAACTTATATGTGTTGTCGTCATCTTTCAACATTTTTAAGTTTGGTAGGTATAGTATAAGCTGCTATAAGTATAAGCAGGTATATAAAGTAGGTATATACAAGCATCATTTAGTATCCAATCAACATTAAAAAGATTTACTCCAAAATAGAATTTTTCAATTTATAATTCTTCGCAATTAAACTGCTGTAATTGTCAGATTCTTAATAATCATTACAAGTTTAAGCCTGATCTCTGTACTTGCAATAAATATTGTTGATATCTTGCCTTCAATCTCTTGACAATAATTAATAAACTTTTGCCAGAATTTAAAATTAAATCTTGCATCTCTATATTAATCTCATTATTTCTATTTTGCTGGCGTTGTTCCGAAATCTGCCAACCGAAATGTCAAGTCATCGTTCGGAGTCGCAAAATTGAAAGCAGATTCTAATGCGATCTGCTCGATCCCACCGCTCATTTCCATCATCCACGCACTTCCTTTTAGCTGGACCGTAGCTTCTCGCCGCTCGTGCGGTCGCCCACGCAGTCGATCGGCAACCTCGACGCGTTCTCGAGTCTTTCGTTCCGCTTGAGCTCGAACTCAAACTCTTACCCAGGTGGCGTGCCAGTGCTCACCTGTCAGCGTCAATTTTTACCTGAGATCCTCTACCAAGTCGGGGACTAGCCCGACCAATCGACGTGCCCGACCCTGGGGCCCCACGCTCGGCACCCATTGCGTTTCTCGAACGCCTCGAATACGCTCGGCTCGAACAGGCGTTTAGTTCAGGAATTCCACCGTGTGCAATAACAAGAGCAGCAATCTTGCGTAAACCGATCCTCCCGCTTTGCGCACAGTTCGTCACGAGATCGTCCACATTGGATCTTTTGCTCGCTGGAACGTCATTCAACATTCGTAGAGCAGGTGAGTGTTGATAGCGATAGGTCCGAGATTAGAATCCCTTCTGTGACTGGTAACGCGAGATCGGCGATCGGTAGCACAATCGTTCGCTTCATCAAAATGGCTCCGACCTCATTTGACCTCACCGAAGAATCCTTCGACAAACTGACTTACTACTTCGGACATTAATTGCTTTATCTTTGGAATTATCTTATCGGATGTGAGCCATTTTTTTTTTATTGCGCCGCGCGTTATCGTCAGAATATGTTATGCCGATCCCTGGAAGACATTTTATCGCGTTTAGTTTATAGTTTATATCATTCCAGTGATTCAATGACTAGTAATGCCAACACATCTTCTTTCCTTATTTGAAATTGCGTTTTTCTTTTTTTTTTATTATATTGTTTTCTTAACATTTATTCGATATGAGAAACGTTTCGAAATATAATAACATGCAATATCTATTTTAAAATATTTCTTGACGTCATCTTCAACAATGACACGTGCCTGAAGGAAATAAAACATCAAGTATTTCGAGGTTGTTGTAGTATACGTTTCTTTTGTCAACATTTTCCTTGCTCACAAATCGTACTATTATTTCATAGTAACAATAAATAATAATTCCATAATAAATAAAATTCCGCGTAATAAAAAAATATATCAAAGCGCATGAGTATATTAAAAAAATTAAAATTCCAAGTTGCTGGGATTATATATATAATTTCTCAGTACAGAATTATGAAATTTTTTGAAAAATAGTTTTCTCAATAAAGGAATTTCAAGAATTTTCCTTGACATGTCATTGTGTACACATTATTTGTTATCGCGGACATTGTCTTCGACTTTTTGATGTGATTATAATAATCGATCAGCGGATAGTGACGTATGTATATACAATGTATGATTACATATAATTGCATCATTAGCTACAATTAAATATAATTGAATATAATTGTAATACAATTAAATATATTTGATTATATATAATTGAATCATTAGATTGGACGTCAATGCAACAACTAACCTGAAGTACAAATAGATTGATAAATATACCTGTCAATGTTATGTTTACCGACGTCGACTGAGCTCCTCGCTTTGCAACTCCTTTCAATTACAGAAATTCATAACAACTTCGAAATACTTTCAAAGTGGAGTTTGAACAACGTACAATCATCGGCAAAAAGTGCACTTAAATCATTCTCATATCCGATTCTGCCCCACGCGCCAACATAACCTGGAAACCGCCGCTGAATACAAATTCTGGTCACGAAGATATCACGTCGTTGTCGATAGTCACAAACAGTCGCGGAACTCTCTACTCGAAGCTCGTTACTTGGCGCATCTGAGTAACGTGGTTGTTGACTCGACGGAATGTCGCGTGTACACAGTGATCTCATCGTATATTTTTAGGCGTCATGTACGCGAACATTAAATCCACGTCGATCGGTCGAACAGATTTTGGCCCGGCCTCTCAATGACTTTCATAAAACTTTCCATAAAATTCGCTCGCGATAGCGTATTGAACGAAAAAAGCAACGAATTCTTCACAAATTCCACTATCAAGCTATAATAGAATACGGAAATTAAATAATTCTCTTGTTAGTTTATTCGTATCCTCTCGTTAAATATTTAAATACGCGTGCAAACGTATTTAATCATTTCAGTAACGATAATAAAACGTACAGGCAGGTGTTGTAATTATTATGTAAAGATTAGGTATGTATTTAAAAATTAATTTCTGTTGCACCCAGTTGTTCATTAACGAGCAAATAATTAAAAAAAACGAACTTTGATCTAATAATAAAGAGCAATCGCGACGAATATTAATCCATTCGCTTATTCTTATCGCATACAGTATTGTTCCGCCTATACCGTTATCGATATCAAGCGATATTTAAATACCTAATTCTCTTTTTGAAAAGATATCGCAATTTTACGTATACCGATTTTAACTTGCACTCGTCAATTTTAATCTAAATTTTATCCTTGAAATAAAAAGAAGAGTATTGTTACTTCCACCTGATCTTGGGTTAACGCACTACAATATATGCAACGTATGTCATCCTTCGGTTACTATTATTTCGTATTTGACGAATCAGATCGTGCGTTACGCAATAGCAAGGTCAATGTCTATCCAGATGATCTATAATAAACGCCGAGTGCGGCCGTTTTCACAATCAGTGATGACGGTCAAGGTGCGAATAAAACATTACTGTGCAGCTACCGAATAGATCACAAATCGCCTTGTTGCATTAAATATATTGGATTCAATATTGTGATTAAAATAACAACTATATATTTGTAAACACTTTTATATATTATGATTCAATTTAAAATTTTTTTGCAAAACATTTCGCGAAGTTAGATTGTTGTGTGATTTTTATGTTTTTATACCAAGATAAGATATAAAGAAAAATACATAATAACAATACACAAAAAAATATTATTTGATTGTAACTAATCAGATCGGAAGAAAGTAATAGCATTAAATTTTCGTTGATTTTATTTTATTTTTTTTTTTAATGTCTCCGTAGAGTTCTAAAGATATGAAACATTCATAAAGCGTTTCAAAATTCTTCCAAACTCGAAAGTATTTCTCAATGGCATTATTCTGCCTCTAAGCGTGGAATCTTTATTTTGTCTTGCTTTTATTCGTAGTCATTCTGGACGTATAAATATCGAATGGAAGAGTCAGCCAGATGTACCGACTCATTCTCTGTACATCTCGTTTTTTTTCTTCTTTTTTCTTTATTCAAAGTCCAGAAGAGAAGAAAACGCATGCGATGTTCCACGCAATATGACGCGGCAATGAGCTTTTTATCTACACGATGAATAATACAATTCGACAAAAGAGATCATTAAATCATTAATGTATGTCACTTATCGTACGGTCAGTTTCAGGATTTCCAGTAGCGAGCAAAGTACAAGGAAAAATAGATCACATTAAAAACTGATTTGTCCGATTTATGTTTAAATGACGCATTTTTTCTTGCATGTAATTTGAAACTAAATGGTTTTATCAAGTGTAAAGGCAAAATATAGTCATTATCAGCCTGAAACACTAACTTAAAATATCAATGCACTGATTGAAAAATCAATTGATTGAACAATTAATTAGCACGGCATTGCTAATAACTCCAAGAATATCACAGAATCGTGCGTGAAAGAAAGATACATCTATGTTCTTGATGTTCATCAATTCTAGTAATATTTATCTCAATGCATTTCATGCATTGATATTTTAATTTCAGTTAGCATTGCTAATTAATTCCAATTAACGAAATCATTAAAGACATCTTAAGACAAAGATACGATACGTAATTTATTCCGGTTGTCACGATTCCACAAATAAGCAATTACAAACTTTTCTCATATAATTTCCTCCTATTCTAATTATTCACTATTTAACGTTATTTATATGATGCGCAAAATAATATTCAATGTTTATTTCCCGTCATTGAAAGTGACAATTTAATCGAACCCCGACTTGAATCTCTCTAGAATTAACAAAGAGCATTTAAGCAGTAGCTTTATATCTTCCCGGAAGATATTCCAGCTCGATTCATGTGGAATGTAACTATAAAAGGCAACGAACATGCTTTCGATGCACCGTGAACCATCGGAACGATAGCGTCTCTCAATGCCATGTTATTGTGACGAGGTCGGACGATAATAGCGTAACGTTTGACATTTTGAAAACATAAGACACGGCTTTTTCTTTGTGCTTTTTAATAGCCCAGAAAAGAAACTTTATTTTATCGCAATCGCGAGTTGCGTCGCAACAAAAGAATTATGAAAATTATTTCACACTATAATCTAAATAGTTTATTTGTGAAAACACAAGTGTCACTTTTTCCTGATGTTCTGAGTTCTGGTTGATATCGAAACAAGGAGAAAATTAAAAAAAATAAATTTCTGTTATCGAGATGTATCAATTAAAAGTGTACGTAATTATAGATCATTATCAATTTTATCAACGTATACATCAAGTACTTAATTCCCGGTACAAAAGATCTAATGAGAATTATGATTATTATCAGATAATCACATCAAGTAACGAATACATACACGTTGACATGCATGTTTATGTGGAGTACTTTCATAATTTATATATGTTGCATCTCTAAATCATAAATAACGTGAAAATTACATGTTTTATTTTTATTAAAAAATAGTCGAAATTAATTAAATCAATCAATAAACAAAGACAAATTTCAGAAACATTCTCCAAAACATATGTACATGCAATTTTCAGTAATATACGCACTCTGTATAAGGCACATATAAAGATAATTTCTCTGTATGTCATATTTAAATTGAATAAAGATATATGATATGTATATCTTCTGTCCTTGATTTCGCGTTATTCATAAGCGATAACCAGACAGCCTCGTATCGTACGTTCGTATCGAATACGAAGTATCGACGACACGTGTGTGGCCATATAATTTTACCACCCACTATTTCTCTTTCTCTTCTGCCGAATCACGAAGACCTAAAGGGTCAACGGCGTGGATTGACCCCTAGCTACACTGACGGTCACTGACATAAGAAAAAACATGAATTCGCACGAATTGTCCCGGTACTGATAAAATGTCGTCATACTCAATAGATAATTTCTAATAATTAAAGCCCCGTGGCTTAAACTAAACATTTTTGAGAAAAACTTTTACGAATTCTTATGAAATTTACAAACAACTTATCTCAACTGCTAGTTCTTTGAAACAGATTTCTTTAAAACGTAAAAAAAATAACAAAGAAGAAAAAAATTAACGTAACAAATTGTTCTTACACACAGAAAAATACATACTGTATTTAAGTAAATATTACTTGTTTTAAGTATTTTATAAGTTCATATATCCACAAATCTATCGTAAGTTCATCATAAGCATCAAATTTATTCAAAAGATATTTTGAACCCAGTAAGTTTAATACTTCAACCAAAAATATTAAATTAAAAAAAGAATTCTATTTGCTTATTAAATTAACCAAATCTGACTTTTCTTCGATACAATTTTATAATA